GAGCATAGAAGGTTCAGAGGTGACCTTATAGAAGTTTATAAGATAACAAGGGGTATAGATAGAGTTAATGGTAGTTGTCATTTCACTAAAATGGGGAATTTCAAGACTAGGGAGCACATTTTTAAGGTGAGAGGAGAGAGATTTAAAAAAGACACGAGAGGCAAATTTTTTACATACTGGGTGGTTTGCGTGTGGAATGAACTTCCTGAGGAAGTGGTTGATATGGATACACTTACAATGTTTAAAAGACATTTGGAAAACTACATGAATAGGAAAATTTTAAAGGGATATGGTCCAGGAGCAGGCAGGTGGGACTAGTTTAGTTTGGGATTATGTTCGGCAAGGACTGGTTGGACTGAAGGTTCTGTTTCCCTGCTGTATGATTCTATGACTCTATTAATGTCCTTTGAGGAAGAAATCTGCCCTTCCTTACAGAGCCTGCATGTAATTCCAGACCCATAGCACAGTGTTTGACTTTGAACCTTTTGCATTCCAGTCACTAATGAATAACCGGCAACAAGTCAGAGTGGAGAAAACAAGAGTGGTGCGGAGTTGGCTGTGGCCATTACCCCTGTGAAGATGGAGGGAAGAAAGGCAGAGCTTCAGAAGCTACAAAACAGCCAGATCAGCCTGGAGAATCAGCATGAGACACACACTCCATTATAGAATTACCTGAGGCACAGTGCAGTTATCGACTGAGAATGAAGGACTGTAGTCATCTCATGTGCTCCACAATACCACAGGGCTTTGAGTGCATGAGCTCCTTCATTGAGAGACTGTTCAACCTCTTGGCCTTAAGCAACAGGCTCCATCATCACTATCTGGCTCCATGGCCCTCCGGCAGGCAAAGCAACTGTAAACAGCTCCTGTGACAGAGGCTGCCTCTGCAGTAATGCCAATGCAGCAACCTTTAAAGGTCTAAACATTTAATATTAGCCAATTGCCTATGATGTTGCTCACAAGGATATTTCAAAAGAACATGAGGTTTGTTTTGGAAACCACAAGGAGGTGTTAGATCTGTTAACTGCACAAAGGCCTTCATGCCTGTTCCATGTCTGGACAGTGCATGTTGCTTTGTTAGACTTTAGAAATGTAGTGGCTGGCCCACTCAGTTTATAATATTGTGCATATACTGTCTGCTATATCATGGCTTAGGTTGCTGTTTAGCAGCTGTAACACAGATGAAGTCCTAGTCTATTAGTTGGGCAAACAATGTGGTACTGCCTACATCTTGGAAAAAGGGTTCAGCCTGTGTGATCCACATTCAGCTAACAGAGAATGCTCTCAACAAAAATATCTGGTTGTAGCCCAACTTGATGGCTAAGAATAAGATCATAATGTACAACCTTCAACCAAGATTTTAAAAGCCAACCAGTGTGTGTGTGTATATATATATATATATAAATCATGTTATTGAGAATAATAGCACTTTTTGATGTTATTGACATTAGAAATTCCAGTTCTGAGACAAAAATATTTTGCATTTTTCTTTAATGCAATAATGCCTTTCTATTCATGTTTAATTAGTAATGATTAAGTCTACTTGCTTTTATAAATCCTAAGTGGACACTTGTAATTAGTTTCCCAATGTATTCCCCTCCCTTTGGTTTGAAATTCTTCCACCTATTTCATTTTTCAATTATTGCAAAGATGAGGTAATCAACTCATATGTGACAATGGAAGTGTGACTGCAGGAGGTGAATGTTGTAAACGGGTAACAGCACACAACATGCTAAACTTTGTACAGATAATATCGACTAACTCTTCACTTAATGTGAATGCATTCTGCGTTTAAAAAAGGTGCTCAATATTATGGCACAGAAAAAGGCCATTCAGTTCATTGTGTCACCAAAGGAGCAATATGACTAATACAAATCTTCTGCATTTTTCAAATATCATTGCACAATGCTTCTAGTCAAATGATTATCCAATGCCCTCGGTGAATGCCTTTATTGAACCTACCTCCATCGCACTTCCAGGCAGTGCATTTCAGACCTGAATCACACGTGTGAAAAGGTTTTTCTCTCATCCCATGTGCTATTTTTGCAAATGACTTCAAAGCTGTGCCCTCTCATTCATGTTCCTTTTATGAGTGCGAACAGTTTCTCCCTATCTAAGACCTCTCATGATTTGGAGACTTCAAATCAAATCTCCTCTTAGCCTTCCTCTCTCCAAGGAGGAGTCCTAACCTCTTCAATCTATCTTTGTAACTGAAGTTTCCTACCTGTGCAACTATTTTTGTCAATCTCCCTGCACTCTCTCTAACGCATTCACATTCTTCCTATAGTGCAGCATCCAGAACTGCACACAATAGTCCAGCTGAGGCAATGAGATCTCAACAAAAGGCTGACAAACAGCAAGTAACATTCACGCCACACAAATGCTGGGCGATGATCAACACCAATGAGAGACAATCTAATCACCGCCCCTTGACATTCAATGGTATTACCATCACTGAATCCCCCACTATCAATATCCTAGGGGTTACCATTGACCAGAAACTCATCTGGACTAGCCATATAAATACAGTGGCTTCAAGAGCCAGTCAGAGGCAAGGGAAAGCTGAGGGGAATAACTCATCTCCTGACTCCTCAAAGCCTATTCAGCATCTACAAGGCACAAGTCAGAAGTGTGATGTAATACTCCCCACTTGTCTGGATGAGTGCAACTCCAACAACACTCAAGAAGCTTGGCACCATCTAGGACAAAATAGCCCACTTGATTGGCACCACATCCACAAGCATCTATTCCCTCCACCATTGACACTCATTAGCAGCAGTGTGTACTATCTACAAGGTACACTGCAGAAATTCACCAAAGATCCTCAGGCAGCACCTTCCAAACCCACAACCACTTCCATTGAGAAGGATAAGAACAGCAGATATATGGGAACACCACCACCTATAAGTTCCCATCCAAGTCAGTCACCATCCTGATTAGGAAATATATCACCACTCCTTCAGCGTCGCTGGGTCAAAAAGTGGAATTCTCTCCCTGTGGGCATTGTGGGTCTACCTATAGCATAGGGACTGCAGCCATTCAAGAAGGCAGCTCACCACCACCTTCTCAAGGCAAATAGGAACAAGCAATAACGTCAGTGACACCCACATCCCATGGGTGAGTTGAAAAAAATGTACCCTGCATATGTTCAACATAACCTCCTTGCTTGCCTCCCCTTTTTAAGAAAGCATACAGTATCCTAGTATTTATTAACTACTCTCTCTATTTTTCCCACCATCTTCAATGATGTATGCACATGTCCTCATACTCTTTGTGCTGGATTTCATCTGGCATCTATCTGCCCGTACAACCAACTTGTCTACATCCTTTTGGAGCTCTACATTGCACACCAGGATCTAGATTATTTATTTACAATGAAAAGCAAGGGTTATGATATCAACCTCTTGAGAATTCCACAAACCATCCTCTAAACAGAAAAATATCCATTAACCATTACTTTCTGTTTTCTATTCCTCAGACAAGTATGTATCCACCTTGCTCCTATCTCTTTTGTCGAACAAGCTATAAGTTTCTTACAATTCTGGCAGGTGGAAATGTGTCTCATGCCTTTGAAAGTCTCCATACACTGCATCCACAGCATTATCCTTGATAACCCTTTCTGTTACCTCCTAAGAAACACTCCAGCAAGTTAATAAAACACCATTTCCACTTTAGAAATTCATGCTGGTTCTTCCTACTCAACCCAAAATTCTCCATGTGACTACTAACTTCATCCCAAATGATAGTTTCTGGAAGCTTACCCATCAATGAAGTTAACACAGTGTGGAGCTGGAGGAACACAGCAGGCCAGGCAGCATCAGAGGAGCCGGAAAGCTGACGTTTCGGGTCAGGACCCTTCTTC